TATTGATTAACATTCAGCAGGATTGTTGTCACTGAAATTGGCGTGTGGTATTACCAGGGCCCGGCACAGATCGTCTGGAAGCAGGCTGAACTTCGTTTTTGGAGCAAAAAGCAAGGGGGATATCGTTTTTGTTGACTCGGGGCCGAGCACCAAAAATAAGCGCCATTTAGTCGAACACAAGCTTTTCGGACAGGTTATCGCACGATTGGCATGCTCTCTCGTGTACGGCGGAGAGTGCGCGCGATTTGAAAACAAGGCTAAAATAAACAAAGTGCTTGTTTACAGCGCAGACAGAACCGTATGACACCAGAACTTAACCGTATACATAGAAAAATATTTGCAGAAGGGTTATGTAAAAATATTTGAAAACTTACGTGAAGTAATACGTTTTCCAAAATTAGTCCGTTACCTGACAGTCACCAGTGCATATATTCCTGCCATTTCACATAAGTTTTGGCTTTTTCTATCATGGACGGATTCTCGGTCACAAACCTATCCCTGAGCATAAAGACATTTTCATATCATTGCCTTTGCTTTGTTTTTTGCCTTAATTTCCTCATAAATTGCTTTGTTAAATACCGCGCTCCAATGCCAAACTCTTATGCATGCATTTCAGCTCCAATTTGGATTTTTATTCTTATCTCACATTTTTCCTTCAGACTAGTAAATCTTTCTTGTTTTCTCCTAAATATGCAGGTCAAGGGGGCTTCGTGAAACTTCCGAAAGTCAAGGGAGGGGCGTTTTCAAGAACCCTAGAAACCGACTCGTGCCGGGCCCTGGGTACTACACCTGACAATGTTACGTCAATTCGTCAATAAGGGCCGTACTCGTATACCTCTCTCCAAGCGTTGGCGTTTGAACAAAAACACTCAGAGGATCGTTTCTTCTATTTTTTTTCAGACATGCTTTGTTTTGTAGATATTCATCTTCTCTGAAAAATCAAAATCAAGAGTAGAAGAATTGGCGTCGATCGGTTTACTTTCTTTGCTTTGAATGCTTGAAAGGTGTTCCCATTCGTGTTAGTATATGCGCAAAAATTACGAAATTTCGTGCTTATGACCAAGAATGATGAATTCAGAAATCTTAAGCAGTGATATTTTAAAAGGAGTTTGGCTGTGTCGTCCCTGTCAAAGGAATTCAAGCGAAAATATTGCAGCGGAAATTCTCTCCTGTATAGCAGAAGTGAACCTCCGTTTACTGATAAACGATATCTGGGTTCTCACTTTTACACCGATAAATTATGGGATTCAAAAAACACGACATTTTCTCAAAACCCGGAGAGCTTCCGACATATTAGGGTGATCGGTAAAAAATGGGGCAGCTTGATTTGTATTACATTTTGAGGTTATTTGCTCTTACCAACAACAAGCAGGCTGCAACTCGAAGGTCCATAACCGACCTTCGCCTATTATTCTGGCAACGCGTTACCGCTCCTCTTTCATAATCATACGCGTGGCGCCATGAAGAACTCAGACAGGGTTTTTGAAACAACCCTCATTGCGCTGCTATACCGTAAAGTCGTAAAGCAAGTGACAAACCATTCGAAACAGCTCTTCATGCTCTTTCAAACAATATATGAAACATGCAAGATTTCTTTCTATTTCTGGATAAAAAGCAAGATAGCTGAAAATCGCGATCTTTGGCGCAATAAAAAAGCCAAAAAAAGTTTTGCCTTATGTTTTTCGAAGATAGATGAAATCTGAGGTAGTCTGCATGTGGATGGAAGAGCGTAAAAAGCTCTATCAGATTTTACCTATAAAACATGCGTTCACCTGCAAAAAATTGAATAACGCGTATCTTTGTTCTCGAAGCTGCTAATGGCCATATCTCCTGACTTCGAAATTTGAGGCCATCAGGCCGTCGTGGGTTTAGCGACTGTCCCACCACCCACTCCAGCAGTGGTACTTTGGGTGGTTTCACATGTTTCACTGCGCAGATACTCCCCAAAGTTTATTTGTCAAAGTGACTAACTTTGCATTTCAGCCGCTATAAAAATTGTTATATATGTAAATGATCTTGAATAGGTATTTTCTGAAAGAGAATAATTTATGCTAACATCTATCAAAATTGGGAAGTTTAACCACTTTTCTTTTTTGAGAAACGGACGACATCTTCTTCCAGCGCTCTGTTACGGTTACGAAGCTGAGACTTGGGCCGACACTGTAGCCACGTCGAAAGCTGTGCGGACCACACACGGAATGCTTGAGCGCACTCTCTTGAAGATGACCTAACAAACAACACTTTTTGGACTCGCAGTATGGATACGAGCAGAATATCCGGTCTTTGTGATCTAGTGGAATACGTTGCGAAAGCGAAGCATCGATGGGCCGTTTACATCATGAAAAGAACAGACGACAGATGGACACTAAGAACATATGAGTGGATTCCTCGTGAAGCCAAACTTTTCGAGGAAGACCACTAACGAAATGGGCAGACGCGTTCGTGGAACGGATGGACGAGCTGAGAAATCAGTTCATACGATTTTAGCATTTGGAACTCGTGGACGCAGCTAAGGCGAGGAACAGACTTCATACTGCGAAGTTAAGCGGATTCTAGGTGCGATAGTGTGAGAATTTGCTCATCCCCTCTTCACCGCTGAACCGGGACCAAGGTGGCCCCCTTCACCAAAAGCCGAGAAAAATCAGCAGTGAGATAAGGCTAAGCAAAGGAGGTATTTGTCTGGGAATTGTTTGTGCATCGAAAAGGAGGAAGAAGATTTATAGTCATTCATGAACTTCCAGAAGGAAAAAAATAGTAGCTTCTCTAGCTGCACAGCAATGTCAGCAAGGAAAGTTCTCCTTGGAACAACGTTCCCCTCTGGTTTCAGGGAATAAATAGTTTGAGAGTTATAGAAGTACTAGGTGAAAGGTGTACCTAGTGATTTCTGGACACTTACGAGTTTTCAACATGAAAAAATCCATAAATTTTGTAGAAGAATAGCTGGTACATGGGTTCCCGCTTTCAGAAAATATACGGCATGTCTGAGATCCGTTCAAAAAAGTGCCTGGGTGAAGAGTGTGCCTAGTGATTTTTGGAGATTTTTGAGTTTTTATTATAAAAAAATTCATAGCTTTTCTAGATGAACTTCTTGTACGCCGAGATAGTCACCATTGGAACCGTCTCGTCCTCCGCTTTCAGAAAATATATTGGAGTCCGTTAAAAAAATGCCGGGTGAAGGGTGAGACTTTTATAATGGGAGTGCTCAAATATACGTCTTTTCACAATGGTAAAAAAGCCTCCACTTAAGCACTTCCATTATGAAAGTCTCACCCACACCCCCCCCCCCCCTTTTGAAACGGACCCCAGGCAAGGTTTATATTTTTTGAAAGCGGAGGACGAGACGGTTCTAAAGGAGACCAACTAGGCGACAAGATATTCATCAACAAAAGTTATGAATTTTTTTATGTTAAAACTTGAAAATCTTCAGAATTCACTAGGCACATCCTTCACCCAGGCACTTTTTTGAATGAATCTCAGACATGATATATATTTTCTGAAGGTGGAAAGCGAGGCGGCTCCAGTGGTGACCATCTCCATGTACTATCTGTTCATCTACAAAAGTTATGATTTCTTTATGCTAAAACTCGAAAATATCCAAAAATCACTACCCACACCCTTCACCGGGCACTTTTTTCGAGAACTCCAGGCAAACTATATGTCCTCGGAAAGCGAAAGACAAGGCGGTTCCGATGTTAGCCATCTCGGTGTATAAGATCTTCATCTACAGAAGTTATGGATTTCTTTTATCTAAAAGTTAATAAATATTTGGAAATCACTACCCACAAGCTTCGCCAGGCACTTTTTTGAAGTGACTCCAGACAAACTCCCAGACAAGCTACACAATTTTTGAAAGCGGAAGAAAAGATGGTTTTGGAAACAGTTTCCTTGCTGGCGTTGCTGTTCATCTACAGCAGTTATAAATTCTTTCTTAAAAAATTTATGAATGCTCAAAAATTGTCTACCTCATTCCCGAAATAGATGTCCTTGCATACATATTTTCTGCTCTATGGTATTTTTGAAAACAGACAGTTTTGCAGGATTTCCAATCCTAGTTCAATCTTCACAAAAAAGACAGCAAGTGATAGAGAATAGAAAATGATAGAACGTTGATTAGGGAGAATGATGAGAGAACAACATCACTCTCCTCCCCTCCCCCCCCCCCCCCCCACTCGGTCGACATTTTACAATTTCTGATCAAGTGAAACACCCGTCACCTTGAAGGGGCCGCGACCATTGTGACCTCTTCACCTTGGAAGGGTTAATCTCACCTTATCGCACCTATGGAGCGGATGATTATATTCTCAGCACGGTGAACGGACAAAAACATAGTAGACTTCTTTCAAAGGAAGAAATTTCAAGTCATTGTTCCAGAGTCGATCGAGAACTTCCAAGCATCACCTTATGCAGATTACTTTTGTCCAAAATACTTACTTACTTTGATACTTAGGTGGCCCTTCCTTTCGTGACGTGCGGGCCTCAACTCAGAAGTTGCCACTGTCAGTCTATGAGTGAAGGAAAAGAGATGTGCATTGCAACGACCGAGGAGCTTACCTCAAATAGTCATGCTTTGGACTGCTTTTTATATTTGCAGAACGCTTCTGCAGAGGAAGTTATGGGATTTTGTTTGCGAGAAATTTACTAGGGTGAAAATAGCCGGAACTATCAACACCTAGCATTTTGGTCTCAAAACCACTCTGAAACAGCTTATCCATGCTTGATGTAATGTTGGCTCTTTTTGAATGTTATCCTTAAGTGAAAAAGTAATTCGAACGATTTCTATAACTAGTCACTAAAAACTGTGCAAATTTTGCCAATTAGAGGCTTCCATACCTTCCGACTATAACGGTACGAACTCTGTGGTAATCGACCACTTTGAATTTGCGAACCTCTTTTGCAAGAGCCAATCAAAGATTGCAATGCCCTAAATTTGGTGGCGACGACGGTAGTGATCAAGTCCTGGCCTCGAATGTTAGAAAGCTTCATAATTCGACTTTTCCTTCTCAAGCAATCATACGCTGTTTGTAAGTGTGCATATCAATGGTCGGAGCTGAAGGTTCGAGTCTGTAATGGCAAGAACAGAGTGCTGCAACGATAAAACTTTATAAGTTTCACCAGCAACGAGAAAACAACGACCAACAATGGGATGGCTTATCGATGACGCACATGTATTCCTGGGGTTTAGGGAAACGACTAGGAAGACGAGCACAGCCGACGTTTTTTCCTTTAACATGGTCAATCTTATAAAGTTCTTCCACGGACCTGAAGATGATCTGTTGTTGCTTTAGTTTGATGGATGAGAAAAATGAACTCACTTGAAGTATCTCGCTTTATAAAAGCTTTCTATGCTATCCACAAAATTTACTACTTTCTTCATGTTTTTTGGAGTTCTGACAGTAGTCACATAGTATAAAAAGATGTCATAGGCGACTTTGTCCTCTAGTTCGCAACTGTACTAGAAAATCAGTACTTCACGATGTCTCAAAGTGGTGTATTCTGTTTGTACGTTAATATCTCTTTTCCCACAGTGTCGTTCGAGGTACAGTTCTCTGTAGGGCTGGTTTTAATTTAGATTCACAGTATGGTGTAAATTACCGAAAGCATTTCATTACTGTTGGACTGCGGTAAAAATTTCGAGAAAAGTTTAAAGCGTTATTGTTATACCAAGCAAGCTGAAAACATTGGCACAAAAACAATTAGGGTCTGAAACTTATGCATATATACCGTAGATTATATATTCCCGTTTCTATGCAATTTTGTAGTATTGAAGAGCGATTGGTGAATTGCTCTATGTGCATCTAAAGTAAAGCTATCTCTACACAATGGTAAACAAAGGTCAGCAGGACTTTATAGAGAATTATCAACGGTCAAACCCATACAGTGCTACTTTTTTGTGACACTCTGTCTATTGGCAGAGGAAGCTGGAAGAAGATTGTTAAAAGCGTGAACAACAATTACCTGAGCTTTTTTTTTCTTAAGCAGCTCTTTCAATTTATCTCTAACAAGAGGGCCGAGATTATCATGATCGCAATGGTCGTGTGTAACACTAACACACAAAATCACCTGAAATCTCAATGATGGTGTAACTACCTGTATACTAGATTAAGGCTACTCACGCTAAAAGTGAAACACAGATGAAGCGGATGAAACATTGTTGCTAGTGACCCAGTTTCTCCACATTTATTCTATTTAGCTTGGACATACTTAATCAGCTTAGCGAAACAGCTGTCACTGGCCACCTGATTCTACCAATATTTTAAATCATTCACTTGTCCTGCTGAAGCTACCATAAGTGCTGCTATGTTTATAACTCGCTGAATGCACTTTCTACCTGTATTGTAGGAATTTTGATTGAGAACTATTGCCTCATTCAATAAGTGCAAGATTTGTAATGTTTTTGCAGCAATGATCGACGTCGAATATTTATACAGTAAGCGCACTTTATCATGGAAAATTTTCGTATACGTGACTGCGTAATTTCGCTTCCGTTCTCTTATACAAAAACTGATTAATGCTTCTATGCTCTGTTACAAGACTATCAGTACTGGAAGAAAAGGAAACTTGACGCATTTTGATCAAAACAACTTCTCAAATGCTGCAGTTTGCGCACGCCTTAGGCCTGAGGACTTGACCCAACCTCAGTTTCAGTTCAGTTGTGACGCGATTTGACAATACTCCAATTGTCCATAACTCATCGTAAGAATCCTTGATGTGCTGTTGATAAGACATTTTATCAATCTATAGAAGTCATAAAGACTATGCATCTTTGAAGACATCTGGTAAACTACCGGATTGCGCCGCACTTAAGTCGTGTGAGGTGTGGCCGAAGCATACTTCATGCGATTCTAATCTATCTGGCACTGCAGCGGCCCTTCATAATCAAACGTAAGCGCCGCCATAATTGTGCCATACTTGATGGGTTTGCGGCAACATGCGAAATATAGGTATGCGTCCATGCATCTGAAATTCATCTATTGTTTACCTTTGCATCTGACAAATCTACAAGTCGCGTGGATGCAGCGCGGAATCGCGGGAAGTACGTCTTAGGCTAAGGGCATACCTCACGCGATTTCAGTCGCCACGCGATCTGGCAATTTGCCAGATACCCTCAAATTCAATACTGGCAGACCCCAAATGCACACCATATTTAGTTCCGGTAGGTTGATGAAATGCCCTATATTTCGTACATTCAGAAACCCCTTACGATGAGTTATGCACAACTGGAGTATTGCCGAATCGCGGCGCGACTGAAATCGCGTGAGGTATGCCCTTAGCCTTAAGCGTAGGCATACCTCCGGCGATCCCGTCGTTACGATTGATCGTTGCGACTAGACTGCCTGGGCGAACGTTCCCTGCGTGGAAATTGCTCATCACTTTATCACCGGACATACCCAAAGTGATTTCGTAGTTATTCACAACAGTGCACTATACGCACTCTTGGAAAGTTTGCGTTAGTTTGTCTGAAGTGCATTTATTCAGGAAGATTTGTAAACAATGTGGCGTCATATGCCTTCAGAGAACATCGTAGCAAACGAGCAAGGATATGGATTCAGCCTCATCTTCGTATTCACCAAGGTTTTGGTACCGGCGCATATTAACCTCTGCGATGAAATCGACTATACAGTTCATAAAGTTTTGAGTTCACCCTTTCGTCAACGGTAGGCATATGTTAGCTTTGTAACAGAAAAGCCACGCTTTCAAAACTTTGAGTAGGCATATTTTAACAACGAATGTTGCGCGAGCTCTTGTCTGCTAATCTGCGAACGATTATACATATATGCTTGAACAACCGAGATGGTCATCTATTTTACTTCAGAAATTATAGCGAGTACATTCGGAATTTGGTCACCATTCACATGTTATTGATAAACACAGGAGATATACATAATGCATTGCGAGAAAGTAAATGATAAAACATTGGGCGAGGTGACAAATGGGAAGCATTCCATACTTATACTTCGCATGTGTTGTTTTCAAGGATTCATAGTATGGAATGTTAGATGACCTATCTTCTCTCATGCAGAGAGGAAGCGCGTGAGATTGAATAGTCTTGAATGAGATTCACATTTGCAAAAAAATACAAAATTTCTCACAAAGAAGAAGCCGAGCGATTCGTCTATCGCTGGTACGGAACTAATGACGGCGACATTGCTAAGCTCCAGCAATGTCGCGACGATTTCCCTGCTGAAGATATGCCCGTCCAAAAATGGCCCGTGATTTGTCGCGGCGTCAATCTGACACAGACGCGGCGGGACCACACAGTTGGGGGAGGCGTGCGCTGCGGACTCGGAACACATGTTCGAGTTGGAAAAGCGACGCGACTGGGATCGAGGGAGGTATGCCTTAGTCCTTAGGCTACATGAATCAGTTTCGCCACAGGCTTGCTTCTTTCAAAGCCCATGATTTTGCGGAAATATAACTTTACGTGAGACGCACACGAAAGATTTCCTTTATCAATATCGTAAAAATGCATTGTGTTGATATGGTTGAAGATGCTCTATCTAAAACCACATAAAACTTTGTCGAAGGCTGACCATGAAGACTGACCATTTAGGCATGAAGATTTCCACGGGTCCAGGATCAGATCATCTTTCCGTCGAGTTTCCGCGAGCGGGAGGAAATCGTCTACACAAGATTCTTGCGTCCCACCTGACATCTTACCTTCAGAAGGAGAGGATTCCCGACCTGTGAAGAACGTCAAGAACCGCCCTTCTCTTTGAGAAGGTTGAACGGGAGGATCTTCGGAACTACCGTCCAATATGCCTGCCGAGTGTGCTGTACAAGCTTTTCACAAATATTATCCTCGCTCGCATATCTAGGACACTGGATGAAGCCCAACCCCAAGATCAAGCTGGATTTCGCAAAGGATTCAACTGCATGGACCATATCCAGACGGTTTGGAAAGTCATAGAAGTCTGCCGGGAGTACCGCCTGCCTCTCGTCCCAACTTTCGTCGACTACGAGAAAGCCTTTGACACCGTCTAAACCAACGCCATCGTCTGCGCTAGTCGATCAAGGAGTGGACCCAGCTTACGTGAGGAGTTAACCGACTGCTACAAGGACTGTACAACGTCAATGCAGCTGCTCCATCCCCCCCCCCCCATCCCAGTTGGAAAGGCGGTCCGACAAGGCGACAAAATCTCACCTAAGCTGTTCACCGCGGCCTTGCAGTGGTGATGAAGTCACTGGACTGGGACGAGAGAGGCATACGAGTTGAAGGGAGATTCCTGTCGAACCTTTGTCTTGCGAATGACATCGTTCTCTTTTCGAGCGGTATCACTGAAGCAGAGACGATGCTGAAGGAATTGAACGAAGTAGGGAAGAATATGTGATTGCGAATAAATCGGAAGAAGACTCAGTTCATAAAGAGTGCCCTTTGCGAAGATGCAGAAATGGAACTGGAAGACACCCCTATCATGGAGACGTCTTTTTACGTGTATCTCGGACGTTCGATGAACATGGAGAACGACTCGAGGAAAGAACTTAACAGGAGAAGAAGAGCAGCCTGGGCCGCCTTCGGGCCTCTGAAGGAAGCCACCGACCAACTGACCAACCCGAAGCTTCGTGCCCACCTGTTCGACTCAGCCATTCTCCCGGCGCTCTGTTACGCAGCTGAGACTTGGGCCGACACTGTAGCCACGTCGAAAGCTTTACGGACCACCCACGCAGCGCTCGAGCACAGTCTTCTAAAAATGACCACGCAAGCAACATCTAGTCGGACTTCGTTTCAAGTACGGATATGAGAAGAATGTCCCGTCTTCTTGACCCAACGGAATACGTTGCCAAAGCCAAACACGATGGGCCACTCACATCATGAGAAGAACAGATGACAGATGGACATTAAGAACATCTGAGTGGATTCCTCGTAAAGCCAAATGTCCCCAAGGAAGACCTCCAACGAGATGGGCAGACGTGTTCGTGGATCAGATGGGCCAGCTGAGAAATCAGCTGGATACGACTTTCGCCCCTGGAACTCGTTGACGCAGCCACCGACGTCAACCAAGAAGATAGTGGATGTCCGAAGCGAGGGACAGGGGTCAATGGAAACTTTTGTACTGGGGCCCCCACACCACTGCGGACGGGCCATCTAAGCATCTAAGTAAGTCCTTTTCGAGGCAACTCATTAGTAACGAAAAAATTGAGGCTTTCTCTTCAAATCGATAATCTCAAACATTTTCCTTTGAAGGAGCAAGAATGCGCAATCCTCTTTACTTACTTACTTAGATACAGATGGCCCATCCTCACGTGACATGCGGGCTCCAGTACAGAAGGGCTCCATTAATCCCTGCCCCTCGCTTCAAACATCCACGGTCTTTTTAGTCGTCGTCGGTGACTGCGTCCACGAGTTCCAAGGGTGAAAGTCGTACCCAGCTGATTTCTCAGCTGGCCCATCCGCTCCACGAACACGTCTGCACGTCGGTTGTCTTCTCGTTGAGCTTCGCGGGGAATTCACTCAAATGTTCTTAGTGTCCATCTGTCGTCCGTTCTTCTCATTATGTGACTGGCCCCTCGGTGTTTGGCTTTTGCAACGTATTCCGCTGGGCACAAAGACGGGACATTCTTCTCAGTGCTGCGAGGTCTGACTAGATGTTATTTGCCTCGGGTCATCTTCGGACTGCGCTCGAACGCTCTGTGGGTGATCCGTAAAGTTTTCAGCGTGGCTACAGTGTCGGCCCAAGTCTCAGCTGCGTAACAGAGCGCCGGGAGAATGGCTGAGTCGAACAGGTGGGCACGAAGCTTCGGGTTGGTCAGATGGTCGGTGGCTTCCTTCAGAGGCCCGAAGGTGGCCCAGGCTGCTCTCCTTCTCCTGTTAAGTTCTTCCTTCGAGTCGTTCTCCATGTTCATCGAACGTTCGAGATACACAAGACGTCTCCATGATAGGGGTGTCTTCCAGTTCCATTTCTGCATCTTCGCAAAGGGCACTCTTTATGAACTGAGTCTTCTTCCGATTTATTCGCAATCCGATATTCTTCCCTACTTCGTTCAATTCCTTCAGCATCGTCTCTGCTTCAGTGATACCGTTCGAAAAGAGAACGATGTCATTCGCAAGACAAAGGTTCGACAGGAATCTCCCTTCAACTCGTATGCCTCTCTCGTCCCAGTCCAGTGACTTCATCACCACTGCAAGGCCGCGGTGAACAGCTTAAACGAA